CACCTGACACGTGATGTCCTACTTCAATACTCACCTTACATAAGACATGCTACTTCAGTATACACCTGACACATCCCGTGCTACTTCAGTATACACCTGACACATGACGTCCTACTTCAGTATACTCCTGACACGTGATGTGCTACTTCAGTATACTCCTGGCACGTGATGTCCTACTTCAGTATACACCTAACATATGACATGCTACTTCAGTATACACTTGACACATTCCGTGCTACTTCAGTATACACTTGACACATTCCGTGCTACTTCAGTATTCACCTGACACGTGACGTGCTACTTCAGTGTATTCCTGGCACGTGATGTCCTACTTCAGTGTGCACCTAACATATGACATGCTACTTCAGTATACACCTAACATATGACATGCTACTTCAGTATAAACCTAACATATGACATGCTACTTCAGTATACACCTGACATATGACAGGCTACTTCGGTATACACCTGACACGTGACATGCTACTTCAGTATACACCTAACATATGACATGCTACTTCAGTATACACTTGACACGTGACGTGCTACTTCAGTATACACCTGACACATTCCGTACTACTTCAGTATGAACCTGACATATGGCATCCTACTTCAGTATACATCTGACACGTGACGTGCTACTTCAGTATACACCTGACACATTCCGTACTACTTCAGTATTCACCTGACATATGGCAGGCTACTTCGGTATACACCTGACACGTGACGTGCTACTTCAGTATACACCTAACATATGACATGCTACTTCAGTATACACTTGACACATTCCTAGCTACTTCAGTATACACTTGACACGTGACGTGCTACTTCAGTATAAACCTGACATATGACAGGCTACTTCGGTATACATCTGACACGTGATGTGCTACTTCAGTATACTCCTGGCACGTGATGTCCTACTTCAGTATACACCTAACATATGACATGCTACTTCAGTATACACTTGACACATTCCGTGCTACTTCAGTATTCCCGTGACATATGATATGCTACTTCAGTATACACCTGACACGTGACGTGCTACTTCAGTATACACTTGACATATTCCGTGCTACTTCAGTATTCACCTGACATATGGCATGCTACTTCAGTATACACCTGACACGTGATGTGCTACTTCAGTATACACCTGACATATGACATGCTACTTCGGTATACACCTGACACGTGACGTACTACTTCTGTATACACCTGACACGTGACGTCTTATTTCTGTATACACCTGCCACATGACGTGCTACTTCGGTATACACCTGACACGTGACGTCTTATTTCTGTATACACCTGCCACATGACGTGCTACTTCAGTATACACCTGACACGTGACGTCTTATTTCTGTATACACATGCCACATGACGTGCTACTTCGGTATACACCTGACACGTGACGTCTTATTTCTGTATACACCTGACACGTGACGTCCTCCTTCAGTATACACCTGACACATGACGTCTTATTTCTGTATACACATGCCAGATGACGTGCTACTTCGTTGTACACCTGGCACGTGACGTCCTCCTTCAGTATACACCTGACACGTGACGTCCCCCTTCAGTATACACCTGACACATGACGTCCTCCTTCAGTATACACCTGACACATGACGTGCTACTTCAGTATACACCTGACACGTGACGTCCTACTTCAGTATACACCTGACACGTGACGTTGCTACTTCAGTATACACCTGACACGTGACGTCCTTCTCCAGTATACACCTGACACGTGACGTGCTACTTCAGTATACACCTGACATATGACATGCTACTTCAGTATACACCTGACATATGACGTGCTACTTCTGTATACACCTGACACGTGACGTCCTCCTTCAGTATACACCTGACACGTGACGTGCAACTTCAGTATACACCTGACATATAAAATGCTACTTCAGTATACACCTGCCATATGACGTGCTACTTCAGTATACACCTGACACATGACGTCTTATTTCTGTATACACATGCCACATGACGTGCTACTTCAGTATACACCTGACACGTGACGTGCTACTTCAGTATACACCTGACACGTGACGTGCTACTTCAGTATACACCTGACACGTGACGTGCTACTTCAGTATACACCTGACACGTGACGTGCTACTTCAGTATACACCTGACACGTGACGTGCTACTTCAGTAGACACCTGACACGTGATGTGCTACTTCAGTATACACCTGACACGTGACATGCTACTTCAGTATACACCTGACACGTGATGTGCTACCTCAATATACACCTGACACGTGACATGCTACTTGAGTATACACCTGACACCTCTTATCCTTCACTGGAGCTACACACACATTTTGAAGCCTACATAGCAATTTCCGACAGATCCCTCCACGACCTGTCTGGGATAGAGGAACCTAGAGCATGACATCCTATATTGTTACTATAGCGGTACCTCGATTGTGTAATGTGCGATTATGTGTCTTCTGTCTATTACAAAGACTATTTTATTGTGACACAATCATGTGTGCGCCGAGGATGATTGTATGAGCCTGAAAGTAATAATTGGTAAAGAAAATGAATAATTTGTTAAAGAAAAAGAAATGTACGAAAATTAAACATTTTATTCAACATATTGAAACATGAACAATAATGAAAAAAGGTAGCGCAGAAAAATTCAATTGAATAAATACACAATACAATGTAAAAAAAGTCACATTTTCGGAATGTTTCGAGCAAATGAAGTCAGCACCATGACAGAAACACACACACACACATTTTTCATACATAATGAAACCTCGTTAATCCGTATGGTTTCCCGTCAAAGAGTCCAGATAAACGAGTTTACGGATTAACAAATCTTTGCTATTGTGAACAGAACACCAGGTGTCCGATTACCGGATAAATGCATTTGTGTCAACCATTTACTAAAAAATCTTTCATTCATTTCATTCCAACAACGAGACGACATAACAGTAGCAATACTGAACACAATTTGGCTTGTGCGGATAAATTTGAATGCGAAGCAAAATAGGATCAATATCTATGACGTCATACATGTAACACAGCGACATGTAACACCTTCGTCAGTGACGTCCTATACGACTTCGCCATATCACCAGACTGGCAGTGTTTCCGAAACCGATTCACCCACTGACAAATTTACCATTTGTAAAATAAATTATATTTCGCTCATACTTTAGATTTAAATTTATGTCCACTCGTACTTAAATAAAAATAGTAAGTTAGTAATTTTTCGTTGATATCGTGCCATAACATAGACTAGATAAGCAGGCAAATGCGAATTATTATTATTTTATCAAAGAGGTGCATTTTGATATTCTTTTGCGCGGGGATCTGCCTTTATGATTTGAAGATGGTGATGAAGACCACACGTGGTCTCTAACGTAATACATTGATTTTTAACATTAAGACTGATGAAGAATATTTGATTATAAATAAAATCAAACTCTCTTTCTTACGAAGCTACAATATACACGAAGCGTTTAAGACCTGAATGGCTGATCTCATCTCGGAGTGTATCATATGATACACATTTGATGTCAGAAGACTGTGAGATTCTCTATGCGTTGGATATCTTAAGGTCATTTCCCCTTCATGAATCAACTGAACGCTTAAAAACTTGTCACGATGGCCGATGAATTGTTTGGTAATTGAAACATTGACGACACTATTGAAATAGTGAACATCTTGTGGTTTGCACTGAATTGACTACACAATTGAAGCTCTGAACAGATGCGGTAACCATTAATTGGCAGCACCTTTGAAAAAGTGAACATCTTGTGGTTTGCAATGAATTGACTACACAATTGAAGCTCTGAACAGATGCGGTTACCATTAATTGGCAGCACCTTTGAAAAAGTGAACATCTTGTGGTTTGCAATGAATTGACTACACAATTGAAGCTCTGAACAGATGCGGTTACCATTAATTGGCAACACCTTTGAAATAGTGAACATCTTGTGGTTTGCAATGAGTTGACAACACGATGCAACATTGAACACATATGTTCTGAAATAATTAACAACACCTATGACACACTGAACACACGTGGGTTGAAATGATTTGACAGCACTGTTGACACATCGAACACATCCTTGTAAACTATGATAACAGTACATGTTCACGAGGCATAGCTATCTATTGCATTCCACGTTCCATCGACAGACGTTCGATGGACATGAGGCCGTCGTCGTCTTCTTCTCGATTTGCTCTTCCTCTTCCTTCCTCTCTTATTTTTTCGTCTGTTCCTTCTCTTCTTATCCCGCCCTCGTCTGTTGCGACGCCCTCTTCTGGTCTTTTTACCCTCCGTATTCTGCCAGTTTGCTCCAGATTTCCTCGCCGTTGACTTGCCAACAGACATGCCCTTTTTGCCTTTCCTGCTTCCTCTAATCTTCTTCTTACACCGACTCCTCCCCCCAGCCATGTCAGAGCAACGTGCCGCCCCTCGTCCCCTAGGAAGCTTGACTGAAAGATCAAATGTGGCTATTACGTCAGTGAGCAACTATGAAATCTGAAAACAACAACAATAACAACAATAATAATGATAATAATAATAGGAGAGGATTTTTGAACGACCACTGCATCGAGTTTATGTACAGTTTGTAGAGAAGGTCAGCAACCCTGCAGAGTTATTCGCTTGGATGAAGTCGGCTGGCCTGAAAAGTGAAACAAGGCTTTCTGTTCGCTCCTCAGGACTAGTCACTTCCCACTCGAAACCGACAATGTGTGATTTTGCATCAAAATGTAAATATGAATGTAGATTATGTAATGAATTTAATGAGACTGTCCAACACATTGTCAGCGGATGCCCAGCTGTAGCACAAACACATTATCTTAAACGACCTGATGGTGTAGCTCGATTATTCTATTACCGTCTTCGCCATGCTTGTGGTTTTGACCCAGAGGTCCACCCATGGTACGACCCGGAATATGTGGAGGGCGTCATGGAAAATGATATACAAAATTCTTTGGAATAGGCCCATTTACAGCCTCAGACGTATCCAGGCCAACAAACCTGATCTTGTCCTTTTTGATAAATCCAATGAAATCTTTATATCATTGAATTTTCTGTCCCCTTTGACATTGACAAGATTGAGGAAAAACATGGCAAATATGCGGACCTCGCTTTCGAAATGTCATGCTTGCATCCCAAGTACCAAGTTGTCCGACTCCCCATTGTTCTCGGTGCCTTTGGTATGGTACCTCCCGATCTGTTGACTGACATTGGGAGAGTACCCGGGTTTACTGCCTTGAATACAGCCCTTCTGACAATCTTGGTAATACAGAAGGCTGCAGTGTTGGGGAGTCTTCACCACATTCTCCAAAATGTTCTGGGTGGTTTCGACTAGGCAGCGCTTCCTGGGAGAAGTCCCATTCGTTGTCTGGCCTGCGTGTGGATCGATCACTCACTCACTCACTCACCTCCAGTATTGCGGTGATGTTTACTCAGTTTCATCATATCCTCGCAGGTTTGTGACGGCAACATCCTCGTGCTTCCACTAGACTTCACTGCAGCTGCAAGTAAACAGGAACATCATGTACGACGAATCACACCCGGGGTATATCTTGAAGAAGGACCTTCCACTCACCGTACTTACGTAACCCCTGGAGATCCGGGGTAGAATAGGTCTTCAGCAACCCATGCTTGCCGTAAAAGGCGACTATGCTCGTCGTAAGAGGCGACTAACGGGATCGGGTGGTCAGGCTCGCTGACTTAGTTGATACATGTCATCGATCCCAATTGCGTGGATCGATGCTCATGATATTAATCACTGGATTGTCTGGTCCAGATTCGATTATTCACAGACCGCCGTCATATAGCTGGACTATTGCTGAGTGCGGCGTTAAACAACAAACAAAAATCACGTAACCCCCTCTCCATCACAATGCGTCTCGTGTCTCGTCTCAAACAAGACCTCAAACAGCAATGTCAGGAAACCATATTGGACCTAGATTCGTGCACGTGACTATCACATGACACACGACAGTCTGGCGGTAATCGTGAACCTTTAATAACCGTTTAAACTGTTCCGTTTGCTTTTATCTTTGCATCAATATGTTTTCCTTATTTATTGATATTAAGCTCCGGATAGCATGTCATTAATTAAGGACGTCATGTTCTACGAACGCTATGCTGCGGAATTTGGTGTTAAACGGTAACAGGTTTACAGTGCTAGCACTATAAAACCTCAGCACAGAGAGCGGAAGAACGACCGTAAAAAATGGAACTTGATACCCTGTCTGGCGCTCGGCATTAAGGGGTAAAACAAGGGCTGGTCTGCTCGGAGTCAGATTATGGTGTTTAACTCTGGCTTGGTATCTCAGAGGGCTTGAACGATAAATCTGGCTTTCGCCCGAAATAGTACAAGCAGACAGACAGACAGACGCACCCACGCACGCACGCACGCACGCACGCAAACGCACACACACGCACGCACGCACACACACACACACACACGCACGCACGCACACATGCGCACACACACGCACAAACACACACACGCACGCACAAACACGCACACACACATGCACGAATACACGCACACAAACATACACAGACACACGCACACATGCACGAATACACGCACGCACGCACGCACGCACATATACACACACGAACACGCACACACACACACACGCACACACACATGCACGAATACACGCACACAAACATACACAGACACACATACATACACATACGCGTCGCTATATCAGTGCGATAATCTTGAAGGCGACGTCATCTATGCCAAATCTCAAAATTCCCAAATCCTATATTATCAACCCCTAAAGCCCCCTCTTGGGTTGCACAGACCACTTTCGCCCCTTTCGGAAACACATTAAATGGCCTGGCCGGGCCCGTGTGCGAAATACGCATCAGTCGGAAAGCGCACGTTAAATCTCCAAAGTAAGTAAGTAAGTAAGTAAGAAGGCGACGTTAATCCCCAATTCGCCTTCACGACACCTTCATGGCTACCTGCTGGCTCTTACTTTCAAACTTTAGTATGAAACCTTTGCCTCCCTTAGACCTCTTGGAGACGTGAAACTGCAGCATGATACATCCGTCCTTGGCGGTGATGTCCACATTCTGGCTCCCTATCACCTTCTTCATCTCGCCCTTGGCGTTGAAGAACCGGAGATTATCCTGTCTTGTGTCAGGGTCAAGGTCGATTTCGTCAGTGTATATACGTAAACCATATGTCTTGTGGACTGGGATATATTTACGACAGGTTGTCTCCACTGCAGAATAATGCCATGGGTAGTTCGAGTGACTCCGTATGATACCAGCTGTGGCGTTGATCAAAAGTGTGGTTCGGTCACACATGTCGAAAACAGAATCTGAAATTCAGAGAAACACATATTATACCCTTATATCACTATCTTCAATACACACACGACACATTGACGGGGTATCCAGGCAGCTAAACCGTTCGATATCATGGCGAAGTGAGTGAGTGAGTGAGTGAAAAAAAACAAAATAAAGAGTGAGTGAGTAAGGTTTTACGCCGCTTTTAGCAAAATTCCAGCGATATCACGGCGGGGGACACCAGAAATGGGCTTCGCACATTGTACCAATGTCGGGAATCGAACCCGGGTCTTCGGCGTGACGAGCGAACGCTTTAACCACTAGGCTACCCGACCGCCCCTCATGGCGAAGACGGGGTTCGATTCCTCACATAGGCGCGCTCATCCTGGTGTTAGTGTAAGATTATTGCTAAAAGCGGCGCAAAACGATACCGACTGACTCATTCGATACAAAATAACGCTCCATTGTGTACTTGAAAGTGGAACAGTACTGCCATTGGTATAGCGTTCGCCTGTCACGCAGAACACCCGGTTCGATTCCAACACGGTGACCATTTGGCTTATCGGTGGTGTTACCACTATAATTCTGCACATATGTTTCTTACCAGTCCTCCAGATAAAACCGAATGAAGTTTTATGTTTCATATTTTGAAAACGATAATAATTGGTTATTCTAATTATTCAAGTAAATATGTACAGGTATATCACGCACCCTTGGGTTTACACTGGTAACCTTTCACAGAGATGTATTTAGGAACCTGGGCCAAACAGTTCAACGTGCTCGTCATGGTCAAAGGAACTCCTCTCGTCCAGCTGAAGTCACACGAGTTCTTCCAAAAGCATCTATTCCGCTGTGTAACGAGAGTGTGAGTTAGGCCTTGGCAGTCTCCAGGAACAGACATGCATTTTCCGCCATTGCTTACGCCACCTACCAATTCAGGTTTGAATACCACGTGACCGGAAGGGCACACGATACTCATGGAATCTTTCCTGCTGACGATGCATTTGTCAACAGAGCCTTTCACTGTGAATTGAATGAAGCATTTGTTTTAGTTAATAAAAAATATCACCTTAACAAAGACGGATAAGAAACATTTGTTTTTAAATTTTTTTGCAAAATATATTACTCAATATAGAAATGTCATGACAGCTTAACTATCAGCAAATATCTGTTTGTTGTTTAACGCCGCACTCAGCAATATTCCAGCTTTGTGTCGGGAGTCCGTAAATAATCGAGGCTGGACCAGACAATCCAGTGATTGACATCATGAGCATCGATCCACGCAATTGGGACACGATGACATGCATCAACCAAGTCAGTGAGCCTGACCAGCCGCTCCCGTTAGGCGCCTCAAACGACAAGCATGGGTGGCTGAAGACCTATTCTACCTCAGATCTTCACGGGTCTATAAGCAAATGATGTTCTTTAACGTCTTCTGAGCAGTATATATGCATTACCCTCTTGTATTGAAAGACCTGTGAAGATTCCGGGATAGAATAGGTCTTTAGCAAGCCATGCTTGCCGTAAAAGGTGACTGTGCTTGTCGTAAAAGGCGACTAACGGGATCGGGTGGTCAGGCTCGCTGACTTGGTTGATGCCTTTCATCGATCTGAATTGCGTGGATCCATGCCCATGATATTAATCACTGGATTGTCTGGTCCAGACTCGATTATTTACAGACCGCCGTCATATAGCTCGAATATTGCTGAGTGCGGCGTTAAACAACAAACCAACCATCTTGTATTGAAAAGTTTGTAAAGAAGATGAGGTACACTCGTAAAACATGAATATCATGCAAAGTAATTTTTTTTTAATAACTTGTTACAGAAACTTATAGAAGACTTATTTTCAATTTTCCACATACAAAACCGTTCTACATGTAGCTGGCCATGTAATAAGTTCTGAAAAAAACATCCGAGAAAAATGGACGTGTCTTACAACAGTGCCCATCAAGCATTCCGACCAGTCTCATCAGTTTAAATCGGCCCCTTACAAACAGTGGGCCCTGAAGGATATTATCTAGACTCACCAGTGGCGGCAGTGTTTGTAGCCTGGGAGTTTTTCACGGAAGGTGTCTGTACGAGGTCCTTGATTGTTCGTTGGGTGCTTGCGTCTTTCATATCTGTTGTACGAGTCAATGAATTTAGTTTAACGCCCTTTAGGACAGTATTTCTGTAATATGTTATACATATACAGCGTGTAAGCATTTTCAGGAATGATGCCTACAAATATAAAACCATATTCTGGGATTCTAACCTACAGCTATAGGTTTCTGGCAAGCTTAAAAGACACATTTCTGCTGAACGAACCGCGGCGCCTTAGACGACTGGGCCACCCATTTCGTAGTGTTGAAATTTATAAATAATTCGTAAACGAAGTGGTAAAATACGCCCGTATCATTTTTCTGAAATAACATTAAAGGTAGTCATCAAGTTGTAGTATCATTGGGGGACGGGTCTGCGTTACAACAACGCGGCACTAAAACGTTTTCTTGAATGCATTTATTTATTTTACGTTGGGATCAAATAGCGTACTGGTGACTTTCAAACATGATTGTGTTCTTGAGGTGTGCAGAAAGAGACTTGCACTGTGGCATATTTGGGCCACGTGTGACGTTACGTCTTCCAGCCCTTTAGCATGACTCGATGACTATCTTTAAAGCGAATGTCTTCCTTATGGAATATGCGGAAAGTGTTATGACTCCTTAATAAATATATTCAGGCCAGGAGCTCCTCGGTACAGACAATATGACCTTACAAATGGTCATTATGCAGTAGTTGTGGACTTACATTCGAATCGGAGTATGAAGCCACGTCCTGCCCGCGCACCGGCTGAAATGTTGAAGGTGACAGTGACGCTTTCCCCTTGTATGAGGAAGTTTTCCTCCTTCGACTTCAAGGAGCGCTTGTAAAACAACACTTTATCCCTTGATCCAGCCCTACTCGAGATCATTAGATGATCCTGACGATGACCGTTTGTGTCAAGGTCGTCCACAGTGATGACCAAGGTATGGCCAGGCCGGAAATTCAGCTCCTGCCTGCATGACGTCAGTATGTCGGCATAGTTGTCCGGGTAACTGGGGCTGCTGCGAATGACGCCCTTGGTGATGCGTGACAGCTGTGAATCACGGGAACAGATATCAAGGATCTCATCTGAAAACGATCCAGTAGAACAATGTATGTTATATTTTAAAACAGTATGTATTATTATGTTCAAATTCGTTTGTCACTTAATATTGCTTACATCTCGGAGTACACATATTATTATTTCTGATATACACGTAAGGTGAATGAAACACCTAGTGTTGTCATACCTGAATGAATACACCTAGTGTTGTCATACCTGACTGAATACACCTAGTGTTGTCATACCTGAATGAATACACCTAGTGTTGTCATACCTGACTGAATACACGAGACCCGTGAAGATCCGAGGTAGAATAGTCTTCAGCAACCCATGCTTGCCGTAAAAGGCGTCTATGCTTGTCGAAAAAGGCGACTTACGGGATCGGGTGGTCAGGCTCGCTGACTTGGTTGATGCATGTCATATCCAAATTGGGTGGATCGATACTCATGATGTCAATCACTGGATTGTCTGGTGCAGACTCGATTATTCACAGATCGCCGTCATATAGCTGGAATATTGTTGAGTGCGGCGTTAAACAACAAACAAACAAACGAATACACGAAGCGTGTTGATACCTGACTCAATACAGTAGGATGGACATAACTGACTGAATACAGGTGGGATGGTCCTACCTGACCGAATACACGTAGGGTTATCGTACATGACGTATGTTGGCCTGACATTCCTGCAGCTGGCGTTGACTGGGTGCGTTATGGGCTGGTCACTTCTCCAACGAAGTTTACACCACTTTTGCCAGAAGCATGCTGCTCTCTCCTTGTGGAGCTCCAGCGTTTGACCTGTACAGTCGCCATCTTGGAACCTGCACCTGCCATCTGCACTGGATCCAAGCAAAATCGTAGGCTGGTAGATCACGTGATCTGCAGGGCAGTTGAAGATGACCTTATCTTCAAGGCGATCTATGCATTTGGTTACCCATGGTGCAGCGCCTACAACAGTAGAAATTAGTATCCTGATTTGATGTTGAATGAGATATAAATATTTCAACAAGATTATCTGTCAGATATCATTTATTTTACGAGCCGTTTTGCGTTAGATACGTTTTGTAACGGTTGTATACGATAGGCACGAGTGTAATAATCTGTATCTTACACACCTAAATTCGCACCACATAAGCATCGAATCGATACACAGTTTGTCTGTTCTCATGATCGCAATGGCGCATTAATACATAACACGACGGTCATGAATGACGTCATCTGGCTTCCTGCTCATACTTCGGATAGAGTGAGTGAGTTGGGTTTAATGCCGCTTTTAATAGTATTCCAGTTATATCGCGGCGTGTGAGTTTAATGTGGGTGGAAAGCCCGAAGTGATGCAGGTCTCAGACGTTTACCACTTCGGTGAAACCCACGAGGACGGGTATGGTGCTGACAAACCTAGAAACATAATCGGGGCGAACCGGGATTTGACAACTGGGCCACCCTTCCCCCCGCGATGAATATAATTTCTATATGAACATTATTGAAAGATGAATGCTAATTATTACAAGTGCTTAATTCTCGTCGGACAGCAAATAATTGTTGTTTAACTCTTCACGCATCTTCCCCAGCTATGTACAACGTTACTCAGACTGACAATGACTGCTTGTGACTGGCCGTGACTTGCGGTAACTGACCGTGACTTGCAATGACTGATTGCTGTTGTGACGTTCGTAAGTTGACTGATTGTAACTGACAATGACTGACCATGACCGACTGAAACTTACCGTGATTGATGGTGGCTTACTGTGGACAACCTGGATTGAATATGACTGACAGTGCTGACGGTGGTTGACTGTGGACAACCTTGACTGAATATGACTGACAGTGCTGACGGTGGTTGACTGTGGACAACCTTGACTGAATATGACTGACAGTGCTGACGATGGCTTACTGTGGACAACCTGGACTGAATATGACCCACAGTGCTGACGGTGGCTGACTGTGGACAACCTGGACTGAATATGACTGACAGTGATGACGGTGGTTGACTGTAGACAACCTGGACTGAATATGACTGACAGTGCTGGCGGTGGTTGACTGTGGATAACCTGGACTGAATATGACTGACAGTGTTGACGATGGCTTACTGTGGACAACCTTGACTGAATATGACTGACAGTGCTGACGGTGGTTGACTGTGGACAACCTGGACTGAATATGACTGACAGTGCTGACGGTGGTTGACTGTGGACAACCTGGACTGAATATGACTGACAGTGCTAGCGGTGGTTGACTGTGCCTAACGGTAAATGACGGTGGCTTACTGTGGACAACCTGGACTGAATATGACTGACAGTGATGACGGTGGTTGACTGTAGACAACCTTGACTAAATATGACTGACAGTGCTGGCGGTGGTTGACTGTGGACAACCTGGACTGAATATGACTGACGGTGGTGACGGTGGTTGACTGTGGACAACCTTGACTGAATATGACTGACAGTGCTGACGGTGGTTGACTGTGGACAACCTGGACTGAATATGACTGACAGTGATGACGATGGTTGACTGTGGACAACCTGGACTGAATATGACCCACCGTAACTGACCGTGATTTCATGACTGTGCCTGACGATGTTTGACTGTGCCTGACGATGTTTTACTGTGCCTGACGATGTTTGACTGTGCCTGACGATGTTTGACTGTGCCTGACGATGTTTGACTGTGCCTGACGACGTTTGACTGTGCTTGACGATGTTTGACTGTGCCTGACGATGTTTGACTGTGCCTGACGATGTTTGACTGTGCCTGACGACGTTTGACTGTGCTTGACGACGTTTGACTGTGCTTGACGATGTTTGACTGTGCCTGACGACGTTTGACTGTGCCTGACGACGTTTGACTGTGCCTGACGATGTTTGACTGTGCCTGACGATGTTGGACTGTGCCTGACGATGTTGGACTGTGCCTGACGATGTTTGACTGTGCCTGACGGTGAATGACGGTGGCGTACGGCGAATGATATGACCCACCGTAACTGAACGTGACTGTATAGGAAGTGGCAGTGTGCATCCTAAGTGTTAATCTATGTCGGTTACTTCACGGTTTCTGTGTTTTCGTTATAAGTTCACTACAAAATCTCGCCACACATGTCTACCCTCACACACTGTTCTAGGTAGAGCTACTTAGTCATTGCAAGATTAAGGAAAGGAGACAGTAGAGGCGGGGGTCTCACAAGTTATTTATCTCAACACCTTTTAAACCGCCATCCTTCACAACGCCTTTTTGACAGGACATACCGCATGTCCAGGTAACAATGTGTTTTAAAACATGATGCAACACATATATTTTAACACCTACCCACGCGACCATACACCCGCACACACACACACACACATACACACACATACATACACACACATACACACACATACAAAAATAGACACACCCACAGACATACACACACGCACAGAGATAAACAGACACGTAGACGCATACACAAACATACACACACATATACACACATACACACACACATATACACACATACACACACATACACACACATACACACACGTAGACACACACGCACACATACACACACGTAGACACATACTCACACATACACACACGTAGACACACGCACACATACACACACATACACACACGTAGACACACACGCACACATACACACAAATAGAAACATACACACACATACACACACATACTGTACACACACACACACGTAGACACATACACACATACACACACATATACACACATACACACATAACGAGTATTGAATTACGATCACTCAGTGGGATGCCATTCAATATCTGTGATAAACAATGTGGGCCACTGTCAACCCATTGACTGAAGGAGGAAACTCCCTTTGAGTAGGTCAAGGTCAAGGTTACTCATTTGTATTTATCACAGGAAACACGCGATAGCGCAATGCTATGGAGGCAAATATGTCTAAATCGGTAGTTTTTATCCCATTAGTGAAGCATTTATTGCGATCTCATGTAATAAATCAGATCATAATCTATACGTGCTGTAATTATTCATATGTAAATAAGTTACACATTTAAATATAAGACGTGAACACCAGAAAATAACCAGTCTCGATTATCTGCCGAAACAGATTCCATTTGGCGTAAAGAGGCAGGTTGGTGATGACTGTTACATGTAGAAGGATTACTGAAAATCAGTGATGACATCGGGTGTTCACAATTATATAAATAATTAAACAGTCTGCACTGCTGTGTCTGTTATCAGAGATAGCGTCTTTATACCCGACAATAACAAGAGACTAGACTAATAGTCTGAAGTCACCACAATGACATAGAGAAAATGATATATAAACATGCATGTACACAGACAATGGACAGTTGTAAAGTACGTATAAAAGCATGTTTTACAGTGAACATGGAAATAATCAATACATATGTCAATAAAAGCACTTCCAATAAAACTATATCTTGATGCGAAGCAATTTCCCCAAGTTTACTTGTACTGATATGATCGTATAAATGAACCTGAACAAACATGAGGCCCCGAACATGGATTATATACGTCTTACGTGGGGGGCAGTGATAGAAGACCAGTGCAGGACTTTGCAGGGTAACTATTTGGTAAATATTTTTTATATTATAACGTGTTAATAATTATATAACAGCCTCATTATTTTGTCTACTTATAGAGTATATCTTACACAATAGAAAGCCAATATTAGGTAGGGAGAGTTGACATTATTTTACCTGTCTTTCTGGGGAGTTGACACTATTTTTGAACCACAATATTTAATCAAATGAAAAGATAATCCTTTCAACGATTGATACTTATGAAATGATTATCTTCCGGTTTGAATATTAAAGAAAATTACAAACACTTACCTCTAAACACGAGAACATGCAGAGCGACAGTTAGGAGCCCGCTGACACCCATACTGGATGAAACATACTGGCATGGGGTTCCCCACAAACCTATTTATACTTTACTATTTATTTCCTGTTTCTATGTCCCTTAGTGTTCTCTCTCTCTCTCTCTCTCTCTCTCTCTCTCTCTCTCTCTCTCTCTCGCTCTCTCTCTCTCTCTGTCTCTCCCTCTCTCTCTCTTTTCCCCATCTCGCTCTCTCCTCTCCAGCCTCTCTCCCTCTCTCTTTCTCTCTCTCCCCTCTCTCTTCCCCATCTCGCTCTCTCCTCTCCAGCCTCTCTCCCCTCTCTCTCCTCTCTCTCTCCCCCTCTCTCCCCCTCTTTCTCTTTCTTCTCTCTCTCTCCCTCTCTCTTTCTTCCCCCTCTCGCTCTCATCTCCTCCCTCTCTCTCTATCTCTCTCTCCTCCCTCCCTCCCTCCCTCTCTCTCTCTCTCTGTCTCTCCCTCTCTCTCTCTTTTCCCCATCTCGCTCTCTCCTCTCCAGCCTCTCTCCCCTCTCTCTTTCTCTCTCTCCCCTCTCTCTTCCCCATCTCGCTCTCTCCTCTCCAGCCTCTCTCCCCTCTCTCTTTCTCTCTCTCTCTCCCTCTCTCTCCCCTTTTTCTCTTTTTTCTCTCTCTCCCCCTCTCTCTTTCTTCCCCCTCTCGCTCTCATCTCCTCCCTCTCTCTCTATCTCTCTCTCCTCCCTCCCTCCCTCTCTCTCTCTCTCTCTTTCTCTCTCTCTCTCAGTATATGTAAGCATGTAAACCATCTCCGTGACCATTCTTAGGTTTCATAGGTTTCTCTTTCTCTTTCTTCTCTCTCTCCCTCTCTCTCTCTCTTCCCCCTCTCGCTCTCATCTCCTCACTCTCTCTCTATCTATCTCTCCTCCCTCCCTCCCTCCCTCTTTCTCTCTCTCTCTCTCTCTCTCTCTCTCAGTATATGTAAGCATGTAAACCATCTCTTTGACCATTCTTAGGTTTGTGAATTTGTAATTCCGAGTTCACTTCGTAATGAGCAAGTTTCATAATCGTGGAAGCATAAATGCAATACAATGACTTAAAAAAATATAAGTAAATAATTATCATAATTTCAAGAGAATCTTTCAAGAAATTGGATTCAAACTATTGTCTGTGTGTAAACTAGACCATAACTCCGAGACGCAGGAAGTCTTAGGAAGTTGGAGGAAGCACGGAGATAACCATCAAGAAAAATACAGGAAAATGACACCAGTATCAACGTGTCCGACGTCTTCCTGATCTCCCCTCTAACATCCCCCCCCCCCCCCCCCCCCCCCCCCCCACCCACCCGTCCTCCTCGTGGGCTATCCGGGGCAGAATGGGCCTACAAAATGCATGAAAAGGCCTGGCCATAATTTCCAAGTTATAGTGACATGTCTGCAATATGTATTGTCATTATGGAGCTAGTTTACGAGCTGCCCCCCAAACCACAGTCCACCCCTCCCCATTCACCCCCAACTCCAAGGAATTTGTCACTCACGAATATTAACACCAACAGTTTGATGCAGCCGCACCAACAGTTTGATGCAGCTGTCCATGACTGTTCACAGGGGGGGAGGGGGGGGGGGGGGGGGGAGAGAGAGACACGTACAGTGATTGTTACTGGGATCAATGGTATTTCTGATTTTGGAGACGTCGCGACGTTAAACCCCATTCCATCTCACCACCTCACCAGAGGATGTCAGCTTAATGCGGGGACAAAGTGATGCAGCCCTGCGACCATTTTGGCTAAACCTACCAACACTGGTATGCAAGGGATGGTGCTGACAAACTGAGACTCATAAGATCTTAGGATCCCGGTATGCCCAAGGGAGGCATCTCTGCCCCACCAAACTCCGTCGACAGAGACATCTGCTTCACTCATGAACCCAGGTTAAATAGTTAAATAGTTAAATAGTTAAGAGGGTAGTTCCATAGCGTAGAATACAAGTGCAGTAGTGATATGTTTAGCATCTGGGCCCTCTTGCACAAAGCGATCTTAGCGCTAAGATGATCGTAACTCCCATACTTTAACATAGGCTTACAATAGTCTTAGCGCTAAGATCGCTTTGTGCAAGTGGGCCCTGGTGTTGTACCTGACAAGTACACACCTTGAACTCATTTCACTAAGCGCCCACGCGTTCGTAGGAGGAAGGAAACTGTTAATATGAGGAAACTTTTCAGGTGTTTTTATTTATGCGCGACTGTTGTCAAATCTATTGCGCATTTACTTAAGGATTCTGTGAAATTCACAAACATTCCGAATTGGATTTAGTCTTAGTTTGTGTGTGTTGTTGAAGTCAGTAAAATTCAGTTGCAAGCTTCAATACAATTGTTTGTTCATCAAAGTCATCTTATGCTTGTTTTGTTTTGATATGACACTGGGGCGGTCGGGTAGCCTAGTGGTTAAAGCGTTCGCTCGTCACGCCGAAGACCCGGGTTCGATTCCCGACATGGGTACATTGTGTGAGCCCACTTCTGGTGTCCCCCGCCTTTACATTGCTGGAATATTGCTAAAAGCGGCGTAAAACCATAACTCACTCACTTATATGACACCATTATTATCGGCGGTCGAAACAATACGCGCACAGCAAACGTGGTGGTCAAGATTATTGCACTTACATAGCGACGTGCATGCACGTGTGTGAGCTTGTCAGTTTTGTTGTACACCCTTTAATACCTAGCGCCTGGCAGGGCAACAACAAGTACCATCTTTTAACTTCGTTTGGTACGACGCCTAGATGATCGAACCATCCGCTCTCCGGGTAGACGCTCTATGCACTATACAACGGAGGCTGACGCAATTTGATTTTACGGAATATGAACACTTGGAAACATTATCCTTGAGTTCAACTAAACACGAACAAAAACTTCGTTGATTTATGGGATTTGTGTGGGAGGCATTACTTAATTTTATTTTCACAAAACATTTTTTGGACATCCTGCATGACAAGCGAACAGTGTTATATTTGTAATGATACAAAAATATTCAACCAAGTCCCCGAGTTTGACCATCCAATCCCGGAATCCCAACGCAAAACAAACCGAGAGAGATGTTCTGCATTAAAGGTTGAATCTGCAGTTAACCTTCATCAACCGACCCCGGGGCCCACACAGCAATTTCTGGTCAGTACTCCCTGAAGCCATTGACCTTTGCCCTTCTTGACCTTAACCGTCATTGACCTGTGTCCTGATACCATCTATAGTAAGTAGGTACGGATAGGTCACCATGTAGCAACATCCTGAGAATGAAATTGAACCTGACACTGAGCTACTGACTATGGTAGTAATAATACATAGCCATGATCATTCAATTGGTGCATTCATGTACAATGAGGAGGTCACGAAGATGGTTTACATGCTTACATATACTGAGAGAGAGAGTGAGAGAGAGAGGGAGGAGATGAGAGCGAGAGGGGGAAGAGAGAGAGAGGGAGAGAGAGAAGAAAGAGAAAGAGGGGAGAGAGAGGGGGAGAGAGAGAAGAGAGAGAGGGGAGAAAGGCTGGAGAGGAGAGAGCGAGATGGGGAAGAGAGAGAGAGAGAGGGAGAGAGAGAGGGAGAGAGAGAGGGAGGGAGGGATGAGAGAGAGAGGGAGAGAGAGGGAGGAGATGAGAGCGAGAGGGGCAAGAGAGATAGAGGGAGAGAGAGAAGAAAGAGAAAGAGGGGAGAGAGAGGGGATGAGAGAGAGAGGAGAGAGAGGGGGAGAGAGGCTGGAGAGGAGAGAGCGAGATGGGGAAAAGAGTGAGAGGGGGAGAGAGAGAGACACAGGGAGAGAGAGAGAGAGAGAGAGAGAGAGAGAGAGAGAGAGAGAGAGAGAGAGAGAGAGAAAAAAAATATACACACACAGATGCACAGCCACAGAAACACGTATCAGCACACCCTGTTGGGCTGATTGTGGGGAAACAGTCATTCGTAACAACGTTAATGCCCAGGGTAGAACATAATGCAGAAATACATCCCTCAGTACTTCTACTTTGCATCGCTGAAGGCAAGGAAAGTGTCTGTACCCAGGATCTCAGCTAACAATGTGGGAAGGTCTGTGTTAACCACCAGGACCCTGTTCTGAACACTAACTTTAACACAACGTCAGACGTATGTCTATGCTGACGTAAAGGAGTTACGGCAGACGTAGAGCATCAGCTGCTTTGTGGATGGGACCCCGACCTCTGCGCGCCACTCCCTTTAAATAAGGATAAAACAAGCTACACACCAATGGTCTTTGGGAATCAATATTTCTGTGAAAGTACAACAAAGTGTAATATTTCCCAGAAAACACCCAAAGAACATGACATAAATGGTATAATTACCACGGCGTATGGTGTTTTTCCTGGAATCTGTTTGCTTTGTATGTTTCTAGGGGTTTCCTTTAGAGAAGTTTAACAATTCAGATAACATTGCGGTGTCGTGTCAGACAAAGGGGAAACAGTGCTTGCGTTCCATTTCAAAATCATGGACGACCCCGGGGATCCCTTGTTGACCATTATTTGACCAACCATGGTTGACCAATGCTACCACATGTTAACTGATTTAACGCCAGACGTTATTCAAAATTAACATACCGTTTTTATTTTAGTTTTCAACAAAATCAGTAATGATACTCTTGTTTCACTGGCTTTTCTGGTTCATCGATCACTGGATTGTCTGGTTTGTTCACAGGCAGGGGTACTGCTGTGCTGCGTCAGGCCATAAATATTTACTTTTTTCCATACAATTTGTACAAATGGCGGGGGCTACCGATATGGCAGGACATGCTTACCCTTTTCGCGAACACCTGATGTCACCACTCATTTTCAGTGGTCCATTCATATAATTTCCAAAGCTAATTGCCCTTTACGTTAAGGCAGAAACTCTAGGATGGGTATTCTCTTGCATTGACAATTTACATTTACGTCATACTACCTAAGTCAGCCATACCTACTGAATGGTATGGTACTCGGACTAGCAGCCTAAACGTGACGTCATCGTTCACGTTAGATCGTTTCATTTATTGATTCAATCATGAATTTTAATTACCTTATTCGACGTAATAAGCGCCCAGGGCGCTCTCAAAA